TTCCTTCCTTCCTTCCTTCCTTCCTTCCTTCCTTCCTTCCTTCCTTCTTTCCTTTATCCCTTTTGTAGGAGATGCTCTTTAAAGCCAGTGTTAATCATTACAAAGCATTTTAGTGCCAGGTGTTCCTCTTATGACCTTTTGGGGGAGCAGGACTTCAGTTGTCCTGCTGTTCACTCTCTGTTCCCATAAAGTGAGCCATCAGGGATGGAGAAGAGGTGGGTACTATGAATAGATTGTAAAGCACCTTTGTTGTCATTCGAGAAGTCATTTTCTGTTCTCTCCAATCCTAGATGGAGCCACAGTTTCTGTCTAAATAGAAAGTATATGCTTTAGACTCCAGACATGCCATTTTCATCTTGTGGCAATTCTCTTTATACTTATATAATGCATTTTGTCCAAATATTTCAAATATAGCAGGTATTTGTCACGCGATATGCTAAGATCCCTGATATAAGGTATTACATTTTAGTGTTACCCATTTTCGTGTCTGTATCTCCCTAGTTCGGGTCCTAATCCCTGTGCCCAGCAGAGTGCCCAGTCCAAAGAAACGTACAATTAGCCATAAACAGCGCGAGTGAGGGAAGGAGGAAGTGGGGAGGGTCTGTGAATGAGAAAAAGGGAAACCTGAAGTTTTGCTGCTCTGGTAAAAATTAATTTAATTGCACGAGAAGGGGCTTTTAAAATCTGTTTTATTTGTTTATGTACCCCATGCCTAGAGCAATGTCCGGCACATAGGAAGCTAATATTTGCACATAGAGTGAATGGAAGGTTCGGTGTTGATGACAATTGCCAGGTGCCAGCAGTCATTTCGGGGTGTTTAATGCATAGTACGCATATAATCTCTGATAGCAGAATGTTTCCTTTGTCCTCCTGTGAGCCGGGTTCCGTTTATTGCCTTGATTTCATTTTCGCCTGCCTGCCATACCCGGGAGCCGTTTCTTATTTCCGATGTTAGGCATTATGGAGCCATATAATACATTCAACTCACCTGCAGTAAACACAGTTTATTATACAAAAGGCCGTTTTATCCCCTACCGCGTTCTGACCCGGTAGGTGCCCGATTTCCAATATCACAGCTGAGGCAATGGAAACTCAGAGAGGCTAAGCAACTTGTTCAAGGTCACACAGCTCCCGCATGGCAGAGCTGGTCCCCAGAAGTCAGGTTCAGAGTGTTCTCCTCACGGTGTGCTTCCTGTGCAGTGGCTGTTGGCAGTCTGGGCTTGGACGTGCCCCCCAGAAGGTGTTTGGGAAGCCTCTTGGCTGGCGGTGGGGGGCAGGGGCAGGGAACGGCTGCCTCACCCCCACTCACCATGAAGCTTTTCTATTTCTCATGCTCTGGCCCAAGCCTGGTGCTGTAGGAAGGGGACACAGTCAGGAGACAGTGTCGCTAACCAGCCCAGTGACCTTCAAAGCAAGCTACTTAGCTACTCTGAACCTCAGGTTCCTTTTCAGAACCCTGAGGACACTTTTGCAAAGCACCTCAAAGGCTCCCTGCAGCCTTAGCAACCTAGCACCCCTACAGGCACTTTGGATTTTGCGCCTAAAAGGTCAGTGGTGCCCACAGTTTGGGCTCGGATTAGATCTACTCGTTTCTCCAGCACAAGCTTCGGGGTGGTTTTGTGATGCTGGGCGGCGTCCCATTGCCCAGGAGGGCAGCCCGGCCCCTGCTGGGGAGGCCTCTAGGGGTTGAGTGGGGGCAGAGAAGCAGTCTCAGCAAGACGTGGCCAAGGCTCCAGGAGAGGCGTGGCCTGGGTCTGTGGGCCCCGGAGGAGGGAGTGGAGGAGACGGTTCGGGAACTCACGGTCCCAGCTGTCGGGACAGAACACCCAGAAGACACTCCAGCTGATCTTTTCTCCCCCGGCTGTTTTGACACGTTGCTGTCTTCCACCATGTACATAAAGAGGGCCTCTTGTGTTCCACAATCTGCCCTTGGGAACTTAGGATGTTTTTAGAAACAACCATAATTTTCTCATCAAAATATTTTTAGGGGTGCCTGAGTGGCTCAGTCAGTCGGGTGTCCAACTTTGGCTCAGGTCATGATCTCACGGTTCGTGAGTTCGATGCCCGCGTTGGGCTCTGTGCTGGCAGCTCAGAGCCTGGACCCTGCTTTGGATTCTGTGTCTCCCTCCCTCTTTCTCTCCCCCACTCATGCGTGCGCGCTCTTTCTCTCTCTCTCTCTCTCTCTCTCTCTCTCTCTCTCTCTCAAATAAATAAATATTTAAAAAATTAAAATATTTTTATTTTTTTAACGTTTGTTTATTTATTTCGAGAGAGAGAGCATACAAAGCAAGGGAGGGGCAGAGAGAGAGGGAGAGAGAGAATCCCAAGCGGGCTCTGTGCTCTGATTGCAGAGCCTGACACGGGGCTCCACCCCACAAACTGTGAGATCGTGATCTGAGCCAAAACCAAGAGTCAGACACTCAATGAACGGAGCCACCCAGACACCCCTGAGATATTTTTATTTTTTAATAAGAGGAAGAGATATTTTTTGTTGCCCTGAGGCGGTAAAAGGCCTCAAGCATGTTTTATGCATAAAGGCCAGTGCTATTTTATAATGGCAGCCTGGAGAGAGCCTTCTGTGGTCAGGCCGCTGATCAGAGTGGGTTCGGGAGGGTTGGCGAGTAAACACGGTGTGAAAATGAGGAGTCAAGTCCAGTCAGGGTACAATCAGGAACAGGAGAGTGACTCTTCACACACATGGCGATCTCATGGGTCCCGTTAAGACCAGGCCTCCAGGGCGAGAGTTCCTGAGCCAAATGGCCGTCTTGGCAGCTGTGATCCTGTTCAGCATTTGAACCCCTTTTTGGGTCAGTTCCCGCCATAGCCGTCCAGGGAACCACACTGGGTCATGGGCTGCTCTTCAGTTTGGAAAAAAGGTCAGACGTGTGGATGCCGAGTCTGGAGAACCAGAGTTCAAATCCTGGCTCTGCAGCTTACTTGCTGTGTATCATCTATCCTTGGGCAGGCTCCTTAACCTCACTTCCTCACCTTTGAAATGGTGAGGAAAAGTCTCCTAAAAGTCTCACAAGGGCTAAACGCACTAATGGACTAAGGAGCCTGGCGCACAGCGAGCACCACGATGGTGACGTTGCCTACAGTCTTGGGTGCTATTGCCAGCAGCGTCGGGACCCTCACCATGCCGCCCCCCCCAAAAGCTTCTGAAGCCCCCCCTCCTCTTTGAGAGGCCTTTGAGTACGCAGCCCTGGCAGAGGGTGGAAGGTGGGTGGTTTCCGAGCAATGTCCTTCCAGCAACTGTGGCCTTTGGCCTGGTCAGAGATGAGAAGCCGCCCCCCCCCTCCTCCCCTCCTCCCTACCCCCCTCATTCCTAGTCCTGTGCCCGGCCTGGAAGAAAGCTCATTCATATCTTACTTTTACAAGACAGGCAGCCATTGGAAACATCCTGACATCTCCCCCAGGCAATTGGCTCATGTAAGTGTAAGGAAAATGATCGTAATGACAAATAGCAGTAAAGCTGAATGACAGTGGCCCTGTTGGGGGTCTGTCTTTGAAGCTAAAGGCCACCCTCCATGTGCCGAAGGGAGATCTGCCAAGTCAGCCTCTCTTTTGTGAGGTTCTCTGCTGTGGGAACCAAATTGCCATCTCAGCACCCCCCCTCCCCCGCCCCCCTGCAGGGCTTGGCCATAAGCCTCCATTGGCCCACACATCCCAGAGACACCTGCTCCCATCCCCAGTGGGGACAGAAACAAGAGAGCCTCACCATCCATTCTGTGGTCTCTGAGCCTGGTGCTCAACCCAAAGCTGACTCCCTGGGCCAATAAGACCCCAGGAACTAGAGTGGGTTGCAGGAGCCTGTGAGGGGGTGTAGACCAGCATCATCCAGTAGAAATAAAATGCAGGCCAAACTGCATGTAGCAGCCATATTCTTGTTTTGTTTTTTTCTAAAGATAGATAGATAGATAGATAGATAGATAGATAGATAGATAGATAGATAGATGTAAGTAAGTACTCTCTACACCCAATATGGGGCTCAAACTCACGACCCCAAGATCAAGAGGCCCATGCTCTACTGACTGAGCCAGCCAGGCGCCCCCTAGCAACTGCAGTTTTAAAAGTGAAAAAAGTAGCAGGTGAAATTAAGTCTGGCATATTTTATTTAACACAATATCTCCAAAATACTAATGAGATATTTTACGGTTTTGGTCCCAAGTCTTCGGAATCTGGTGTATATTTTGCACCTAGAGTTTGCACTAAGCCGCATTTCAAATGCTCAGGAGCCACTGTGGCTAATGGCTACTGTACCACACAGCACAGGTGTAGACAGCTCACGGGCAGGGCAGCCAACATCCTACATCATGTGTATTTAAATGTTTATCTCCAATGGGGCTCCCTAACACCATTTCCCTTTGGCAGTGAGATTTTGGATAATTGGAGGTATTTATTAATAGCAGCTCATCATTGAGGGGAAAAGCATGTTTCATTCTACAAATGAATTTGCAGGGCGCCTGGGTGGCTCAGTTGGTTAAGCGTCCGACTTCGGCTCAGGTCACGATCTCGCGGTCCGTGAGTTCGACCCCGTGTCGGGCTCTGTGCTGACAGCTCGGAACCTGGAGCCTGCTTTGGATTCTGAGTCTCCCTCTCTCTCTGCCCCTCCCCTGCTTTCTCTCTCTCTCTCTCTCTCTCTCTCTCTCTCTCTCTCTCTCTCAAAAATAAATATTAAAAAAAAAAACCTTAAAAAAATAAAATAAAAATGAATTTGCGATGGTAAGGTTGCACCACTGTACCTTGTAACTTAGCTCTCCGGACCTTCCCGTCTCATCGAGCGCACAAGTCAGGGCTGACACACTGTGAGCTGCCCCAAGAAGAATCCCCACCGAGTTCCAAATCCCAGCCTGCTATTACAGCTGAAGGCGCTGCAGTATTCAGCATGACTTTGTCATCTTGGCCCCAGTTGCGGAGCTGGCGGGCTCCAGAGACTGCCAAGTGCTATCACCGAGAAAAACGAGCCACTGGCACTTGACGTTCTGCTTTGGTAAGCCTTGGAGGAAGGAGAGGGTGTTATCAGCAGGAGTCATGAGAGTTTAATGCTGTGGAAACAGAAAATAAAAAGCAAGTGGAACCAAAGTTGATAATAAGAGGCAAGACACAAAACAAAACAAAACCCTTCAGGGGCCTGGCTTTCAGAATTTGTGAATCATTCTGGCCAAAAACAGGGTTTCCGTACCCATGACCTCTGACAGCTTTCCAAACTCAGGTGGCATTTGCTGCCACCCAGGAGAGGAGTCTGGTTGGTCAGATTGCTCAGATATTTGTAGACTAGAGGATATGAAATACACCGTGACCTCCCTCACTCAGCCCCTACCATTCTGCAGCTTGATTAATTTCCACAGCAACACGGTGCCTCCGCTCTGCCTGTGTTAGAAACAGAGTAACTAAAACACTGATTCATGAAAATAGACTTTCGGGACTGGTTTTCATACAGTTGCAAGAACAAATTTTATTCAAGTGCTTTTGAAATGTTAGAGGTACAGCTACTAAAACGGTGATTTTAAACCTCTTTAATCCTTGAAGCCCTTTGATTAATATTTTATGTGGTCTCAGTATCGTGATTACATATATTTGAAAGCCATAAACTGTACTTTTAAAACAAAATGTCAATATTCAGGGCACCGCTTACGAACTGATTGGCTTTGGGCAGGTCTCTTAAACTTTTGGCCACATCAGCTTTCTCACCTATAAAACGGGAAGAATAATCATTTCTGCCGCATTGGGTTCGCCAGAGTGTTCCTAGAGCATCCGATACATAGGAGGTGCTTAGCAAATGTATGTCTTTGCTCTCCCAAAGAGCATTTCTCTTGTTGTTCTACTTGGTCAAGACAAGCTTTGATCCAGTTATTTCCTGTCTTGGAACCAGAATGACAGGCGTCAATGTCCGTCATCAGGTAACGCGTGGCAGCTCATTTCAGTAGGGCTTTTTATACCCTGTATGCGTGCAATTTCCAAGTTTTCAAAAAAGAACAAATGGAGTTTAAAAAAGAAAAGAAGGCCCCCTCATAGGTTCCTCTGGTTATCATTTTCTTGTCAAGGAAATGAGCTCTAAAGCTGCCAGATCCAAGCATGTATCCCGCGGTTGCCGCCCACACTGAGGCAAGCCACAAGAGCTTGTATTTCTCGTTCTACAGGGAGAAATATTGGTAATACATTAAAGACATGGAGAGGAAGAAACACGCAGAAGGTTTGTTTATGTCCCAGGACATTTCATTAGGCATCATGGGCCATTAAAAAAAATATCCTGGAACGTTTCAAAGTCAAATGCGTATGCAAAATGGCAGAATGATCTTGCTGAGTACCTGTTGGGACGTCTTCACCTGGAATCCTGGGGCGTGATCCATGGTGGAGGGAGGGGGCAGGGATTGTGTGCCTTAGGCAACTATACCAGTGTTTTAATAGTGTGAACTAGAAATTCAAATCAGTGTTACCCTCTTCCATGAGGGCAGGTTGTGGGATTATTCTCGTACTTCTGAGAGCCACAAAGATGGAGGGAGCAGTCGGGGGATGGGTCTCTGCGAGCTATCACCCCACTCCTCAGCAGCTGCCTGCATTTTGGGCATCTCATTTCATCTACTCTGATCCTTTTCCACTTATCTTGCTTAAGTATTTAAAACAAATCTGGGGCGCCTGGGTGGCTCAGTGGGTTGAGTGTCCAACTTCGGCTCAGGTCATGATCTCACACTCTGTGAGTTCCAGCCCCCCTTCGGGCTCTGTGCTGACAGCTCAGAGCCTGGAACCTGCTTCGGATTCTGTGTCTCCCTCTCTCTCTGCCCCTGCCCCGCTCGCGCTCTGTCTCTCTCTCTCTCTCTGTCAAAAATAAGTAAACATTAAAAAATTAAAAAGTAGGGGCGCCTGGGTGGCACAGTCGGTTAAGTGTCCGACTTCAGCCAGGTCACGATCTCGCGGTCTGTGAGTTCGAGCCCCGCGTCAGGCTCTGGGCTGATGGCTCAGAGCCTGGAGCCTGTTTCCGATTCTGAGTCTCCCTCTCTCTCTGCCCCTCCCCCGTTCATGCTCTCTCTCTGTCCCAAAAATAAACGTTGAAAAAAAAAATTAAAAAATTAAAGTAAAACAAATCTAAGGTATCATGTCATTTCACCCATAAATATTTCATCTCTCGTGCATTTCACTCATAAATACATTTCTAACCAAAAAGGACACTTCTTTTGAGTTAATCTTTTTAAAAAATTTTTTATTTAAATCCAAGTTAGTTCACGTAGAGTGTAATAATGGTTTCAGGAGTAAAATTTAGTAATTCATCACTTACATGCAACACCCTGTCATCCCAACAAGTGCCCTTATTAATGCCCGCGACCCTACCCACCTCCCCTCCAGCAACCCTCAGGGGTTTTTTTCTCTGTATTTAAGAATCTCTTATAATTTGGCTCCCCCTCTTGTTTTATTTTTATTTATCTTATTTTTATCTTTTATTTTCCTTGTTTTCATCTTATTTTTCCTTCCCTCCCCCTATGTTAATCTGTTTCTTTTTTTTTTTTTTAACGGTTATTCATTTTTGAGAGAGAAACAGAGCATGGGTGGGGGAGGGGCAGAGAGAGAGGGAGACACAGAATCCAAAGCAGGCTCCAGGCTCCAGGCTCCGAGCTGTCAGCACAGAGCCCGATGTGAGGTTTGAACCCAGGAACCATGAGATCATGACCTGAGCCGAAGTCAGGTGCATAACCGACTGAGCCACCCAGGCGCCCCCTGTTTTGTTTCTTAAATTCCACATATGAGTGAAATCATATATTTATCTCTGACTTATTCCGCTTAGCGTAATACACTCTAGTTCCATCCACGTTGTTGTAAATGGCAAGATTTCATTCTTTGTGATCACCAAGTAATATTCCATTGTATACTATCAACAATAACCAAACTATGGAAAGAGCCCAAATGTCCATCAGCTGATGAATGTATAAAGAAGATGTGGTTTATATTAGTGATAATTTCTTAATATCATCAAGACCATGTTTCAGTGTTCCAGATTTTTTCTTACAGTTGGTTTGGTTTGAATCAAGATTCAGACAAGGTTCAAATATTACATTTGATCATTTTGTATCGCTTTAAAAATGTTGTGAAAAACTTCAGATACGTTATCACCGCCATCATCTTTGTGACTTTTAGCAAAATTCTGTTACATAGCTTGATTATCTTATTTACCAGACCCCGGGTCTGAATGGCCTCTGGCTTTTTCCGAAAAGTAAATCCACCTCACTGTCCAAATATTTTTCACCAATGAGGATAATTAAACCTTCAGACGTCACTGTGTAGTTTCTCTGGGTGGATTCAGAGGAGCTGTTCCCGAACAGGTTTTGGGCAGTGAATTCCTGGGTGGTGGTTCCCGGTGTGTCTGATTTGCAGGGCCCTCCCCGCTTAGTGCAGAAAGCTCTAAGTGCTTGACGTATCTGTTCTAACACAGGCTTTTTGATCGCCAATAATTGTAATCGATGTTTGTGTTTTCCCACAGATAATCGCTTATCAGCCGTATGGGAAATCCGTGGACTGGTGGGCCTATGGCGTCCTATTATATGAAATGCTAGCTGGGCAGGTAACGGGTTGCTACGTTTTCATGCTTGTTTATTGCCGGGTAACGGGAGTCTTTCAGCTCGGTTCGGACCACGGTAGCAGGACCTGGCTGCTGCTGGTCTGACTTCCCCAACCCAGGTGAAAGAGGGAGAAATCCACCCCCACCCCACCCCACCCTTGAAAGGGGTTATATTCAGTAGGCACGGCAGTCATCTCCTGGTCATAAAAACCCCACACTGAAAGCTGCAACCTGGGGCCCAGACAACGTAGCTTTCATATTCTACACAAAAGCTCCGTGGAGGACGACAGTGGCCTCTGTAGGTTTTCAGAATCTCAACACCGGGTTAGGTTATGGGTCCCTGCACGTTTGTGTGCACACATTACCCCAGCAGCTGCCCACTGTGTATCATCGCGATTGTTATCAAAGGAAGAAGACAGTAAAACTTGAAGAATAATTTTAATAGCTCCTTCCCATCTCTTCCGTAACTAACTCTCGGCAGTTCATTGTCATTTTCACAAAAGCATGGAGGCTGAACCTCCAGTTACAAAAAAGACAGATTAGGTTTCTCTGAGGGAGGCTGCATAGGTCAGATAAGCGGGGGGATTACTGCCTAGGCTGGCGCTCTTTAATATATGGCCTTAATATCTGCGTCGTCGGGGCAAATCGCACTGGCCACGTTAACGAGCAACCCCAAGTCTCCGCAGTCTAACACACGACACGGATTTATCTTACATTGTCCACATGGTCATTCGAGGGTAGGCTTCTTTCATTCACTGGCCCTGCCGTCTTTTAGGGGCTCACATTCCTTCAGTGACCCCCTCCTTACTCAACTGGCCAGTGAAGACAGAGCAGAAGGGAAGTTGCACAGAATGTTTCGGGGGCCAGGCCTGGAGGCGTGGTGCACCTCTGTGCTTCCTGCAGCCTGCTGGCCGCATGGCCCTCACTGAGACGCAAAGGGCTGGGAAGCAGAATGTGTGTACCTGTGAGCTCAGCGAGGGGAAGCAGGTCGGGTGAGCATCTATCCACCAGATCTCTGTCGTTTTACCTAAAAACAACTCTGCCCTGGGCAGCTTTTTATAATTCCCAGCACTCAAGTCCTGATGTCCGGGAGTCTGACCTTCCATAGCCAAAAGCCTTAGAGAAAACAGAAAGAAATGCCCGTGGTGGGCAGCTGAGCTACACCCAAGGAAATCTTTGAATCTTTGTTCCTTGGGATGAGGCTAGGGGGTGGGGGGAATCACCCTTTCTGGCATTTGACATCCATTGACTCATTTGTGGATTCATTCAGCACATACTTGAGTGTGTACTGTGTGCATGGTT